TCAGTTCAGATGACAGCTCGCCGTAAGCCCTCACCTGGCTGTATGAGTACGAGTAGAGTGCCTTAATCAGTGCAATATATTTTCTTGGAATTCCCTTTACAGCCAAGCATCTCCAGAGAACTTCCCGATCGACAGAGTCGAATGCTGCCTTTAGGTCAAGAAATATAATGACTGTTGGACGCCGGTAGGAATGCCTATGTTCTAGAATCTGTCGGAGGGTGAAGATATGATCAATACACCCTCTTCCTGGTCTAAAGCCTGCCTGGCTCTCTCGTGTTTGTGCTTCCCGAGCACCACTCAGTCTACGCATGATTATTGAGCCTAAGACTTTAGATACTATATTAGTCAAGCTAATCCCTCTGTGATTATCACAGGAAGACTTGTCTCCCTTCTTGTATATGGGGATAATCAGTGACTTACACCAACCCGATGGGACTTCTTCTGATTCCCAGACGCTGCCTAGTACCTCAGTTAATCCGGACAGTAAGCTGTCTCCACCGTACTTAAATACCTCTGGAGTCATTCCATCAGGTCCCGCTGCTTTGCCTAGTTTCAGATTGGTGACAGCTTTAGTAACCTCAGTTAGTGACGGAGGACCTGTGTTTATATCCCATTCAGGGAGGTGTTGGATGCTCGGAAGGTTGAGCGTGGCTGTGGGCAAATTAAACTGCTCCTCATAATGCTCTTTCCAACGATCCAGTCGTCTATCCTGGAGCTAATTATAGTGCCATTTTTTTCCGAGATTGTCTCACTAATGATTTGTCTTCTCCCACCCGTTTCCCTGATGAGTCCAAAGAGTTGCCTGGTGTTGCCTATCCTCGAAGCTTTCTCCATCTCTTTGGCTTTTGTCGCCCACCACTGTTCACGGTCCTTGCGGAGACTTTTCGTAAGTTTCCTCTTGTGCAGCTTTCGCTCCTCATTGAATTCGGAGCTCGCCGGAATAAGTCTTCTAGCATCTATCAGTTCGGATGAGGCGGTGGAGATCCAGTGGTTTTTACTCACCTTTGGGTTTACCTTATTCACAGCTTTTACAGCTGTATCTATGGCTGCCTGGATATTTTTCCAAGCTTCTTCAGGGTGAGCACAGCTGTCGAACACAGATATGTGTTTAGCTAGTTCTTCCTGAAATACGGATTTAGTTTCCTGATCGAGCTGGGGACGTGATGGTTTTACCGCCAGCTGTTTCCTACGTCCGTTCAGTCGTAAGCACACCCGAGCGCGGACCAGTGCATGGTCGGTATCTACGCACGTGTTCCAGAAGGAGCGACAATCTCCTACCGACCCACGCCAACGATAGCTTATTGCTATGTGGTCTATTTGTGTCCAGCGTTGGTTTGATGAAGGGGGTCTCCAAGTCAAACAGTGTCTCTCCTTGTGTTTAAAGTTAGTGCTTACAAGAAACAAATGATTATCAGAGCAGAACTGTAGGAGACGGTCACCGTTGTCGGTTCGCTGGCACGGAGCTCCATAGGTGCCACCGACATCCTTCTCAGATTGACACAATTTCCCTACTTGAGCGTTAAAGTCACCAGCTAGAACGACTATGTCTGAGCGTTTAGCCTTTCCACCAAACTAGACAGCTTTTGGTAGAACTCATCCTTCGTTTCATCTGAACTGCAGTCAGTGGGGGCGTAGGCGGAGATTACGAAAAGGCATCGGCGAGTAGTGCAGTCCTTCCTCCTTCTTACTGATCCGTTCAGGCGGACAGCACACATTCGGCTATCTACCGGGATCCAGTCAAGCAATGTCTTTTCTGCCCTAGTACTCAAAGCTATCCCTACGCCAGCTAATCCTCGTGAACTAGCTGTGGCATCTCCTGACACCCTCAGGGTGAATTTTGCAGATTCAACCTGTTGGCCAGGTGGGGTTAGGTGAATAACCACACTTGGGTCTTGTATGCGTGTTTCTGAAACACAGCATACATCAATGGCTCGTGATGCCAGGGTCTTGGCTAGTGATGCTTGTTGTCCTATTTGGCAAAGTGTCCTAACATTAAGAGCTCCTATATGAAATTGGTGGCGCGGCTTTAAGAGGCTGTCGGTGGTGGTTTTTTGGCTTCCATCGTTTTTAGTGGACGCAGAGTGGAGAGGAAGTGGAGAGCTATCAAGTCGAGGAGTTGCATCAGTGGAAGGAAGGCAAGATGATAGAGATGAAGATGAAGACAAAGATGAGTGAGTAATAGAGAGGTTTCGTGTGCATTTCGGATTGTGAGGGCGATTGTTACTTCCCGGCTGCCCACACCGTGGAAGTTGGTTGCGTGACCGCAGAGCCCAGGGGACAACTGCTTGAGGCCGGTCACACGCGGCCTGTTTTTGTTCGTTCTTTTTTGTTTGGTGTGTCTCAGTAGCAGATTTATCACTCCCGCCCTGTGACACGGCAGCAGGAAGCGCGGTCGTTGTTAATCCGGGCCACGGCCGATCCGGCATGAAATTTTGTAATTTTGTATTGGACATGATGTTGGATTGGGTAGCTGCTTTTTGTTTAACCGCTATCCAAACAACCTGCCTGGCATGGTAGTACCTCAAGAGACATAAGTCTCAGCCAGTATAGCTTGAATAGATCATTGCGGTGTTCAAGCCCGACCACCACGTCAAGGTACCAGCTTTCGGTCGGGTGAGACATAATCAGAGAAATCTTCCAGGTCCTGAAGGTTATTTACGTGTTGGTGTCTTTTCTTCAGACAATGTATTCAACCTATTAATGAAATGACTTTATTCTACTGAACAAAATACTCATGCTGCTACCCATTTCTCCAGACAATTCACACCAAAAAGTGTATAGCACAAGTGAATTTAGAAATTGTGAGCAATCAGTGGAGAAGAAAGTAAAGCAGCTTGAACTTATGACCGTAATTGAGTTACTGAATACTAAACACAAGGTATTCCACTTGCATAAATCTGTTTGTACATGAATGTTTCATGTTAGAGAAGTAGAATGGTGGGTGAATGATGTGAACCAGGTGAATCGCATTGACTGAATTAAGTAGTAGAGACACAATTATACTTGTGGTGACTTGTGCAGTAATAACTAGACTCTTAACACACGAGTGATGAGTTGCAACTCTCTAATTATCTCACTGATCCAATGAAATTTCCAGAATGACACTACAAGTTGCGGAATGATATGAGATGCTTTTCACTAATTGTAGACGAAAACGAATTGTGCTTCATTGTAGGTGACGATTCATTTTTTGTTTGTCAAAGTATGAATAACGTTTCTCCAACCAAAGTCAACGCATACACACATATATACGCGGATATACTAAGAGATGGTTTATGGGAATAAGTGACAATGTTCACCCCAGTTTAACACTGCATTACCACTCAAGTTCTGTACGATAGTACGATATTTAATTCTATGTCAGACGTTGGTTTCACAAATAAACTTTGTCAACCAAACACTACCGCGAATGACAGCCGGTACGCGTTGGTCTTCCTCAATCAACGTGTTCATTGAATTACAACCGTATTGAGGTTTCACAATTTGCAGTAATCCCGTAGTGAGTCACCAAGTTGATGAGTGAGGGGCAGGTGAATGTTTTCGGGAGTTTGTAATACAGAAGACTTTGTTTATTTCATCACACAGTGTAAAGGCTTCACAGCTTGTATTATCAAATTTGAATGTGAAAAATGAACCTCTCCTCAATTAAAGTTAGTCTGTTAATGAGATGAAGAGAGTCCTTAGATTAGGCAATGTCTCCCTGTATACGTCTATTGATAATAATGTTATTAGCAAAACAATAAGATATAATTTATCTGAAACGTGTAATATATTTGCGCAATGTATTTCAGGCATTCTGATCGGAAACATGGTGATATGATAAGCAACATAGCATAAATGATCAAAATTTTATCAGTATCGGTTCAAATATCTACAAGTCATAGTCAAAGATAAGAAACTATGAAACCCGTAAACATTTTCACCTATACTGATACAGTTTTGATTCCTTGTGATCTGTTGCATTTTATATAAATATGTATGAAAAGTATGTGTTTGATGAGAATGCTTGAAATGCGTTGTACAAATATATTACACGTTTTAGATAAATATTACTATTATTATTGTAATATATTCTTCGATATTGTTGGCGGTATGCCTAAAATTTGGGCTACTGTAAACTTCTATTAATAATATTGCATTAAATTTCACTGGTTCAGATTGCTTATATCTAATAAAATATGACCTCTATTGTATGGTGCGTCTGTAGTTTAGTGATAGAACACTGGTCAACCATGCATGTTGTCCGGGGTTCGATCTCCGGCTGACACACTCCATAACTTTGCTAGACCGATAGTAAGTCTGGTAAAAGGAGGGGAGGTTGGGCATGAGGATAGCTACCCTACGCCGTACAAAAAGAATAACACCACTGATAATAAAACTTCAGTGGTCTAGCTTGAAGCTCTACGTTCCACTGGGAATGCGAAGGAGTAAAATAATAATAAAAAATAGTATTGTATACTCTGGCGGGTATTTAAAACATTCCTAACCTCGTTTGCAAGTTTCTACTAAACGTGGGAAAAAGCATTATCCTCGACGTTAGCATATCGCACTATATGAGATGTCCGTTCCTGAGTAGTGTTCTTGGTTCACAAAATATACTTTTGAACTTTCTGTAATTGATATTCAACAAAATGTCGTCTTGTATTTCTCGACGAAGACAAAGAAGAGATATCTTAAAGGATTAGTTTGCACTTCAGCTCAAATAGAACTGTTTCACACGATCCGCTGTCAATTTATCCTTTATTTGAAGATCCTGTACGAAGAGAAAATATCATGCGCTCTGAAAATTTTGTACTTAATAATATAAACACTGTTCGGAGAGAAGCTGTTATGGTTGTTGTTGTTGTTACGTCTTCTTCTTATTATGTTGTCGAAACGTCATTAAAAACGCTATCGTTTAACTTTTTCATTTATTTGAAAATCCAAAATTTCTTATTATGACGAATATATTTTTGTCTTGAAACTTTATGGAACTGTATCAAAAATACCAGTGATATTGCATAAAGTATTTTTATTTATTTAATTTCTTACAAATTAAAGGATAATTATTTCATGATGAGTAACAGGTGAATTTTTTTAAAGCAAAAAAGTCCTACACAAAAATTCTGTTCATCGATTTTCTAAGTGCTTTGACAGTCGGACAATTAGCGAATTGTATACCATCAAATTCTGTTAGAAGGCAGTTTTTCGCCTCAGCCACACAAGATTTATACTGTTTGCATAATTCTCTGAGGTCTTTCAAGTTTTCACCAGCATACTGTTGTCCTAAAAGTAAACGGAAAATTCAAAAGCTTATGCTTTCTAGGTAATTTAAAAAAAACAACAACATTTAGGCGTAATTTCTATTGAAAAGGGTGATACACAGTATTTTGATTTGACACTAGTAACTAGTGTGATGTGTCTAGTCCTTTCATTGGTGCAGACTGAATTCTATCAGTCAGTCAGGTTGTAATGTGGCCACCATTCTAGATAGCTCGTCATCACGGTGCACATTGATTTGATGGTATTAGATGGTTGGAGGCAATCGGTAGTAAGCCTTGGACCTAGGTTTTGTGCTAGTTGGCACTCACCAGTCAGCAAGGCGTATCTGCAACCTTAAAGGAACTCATGTCCCTTCTGAGATTCGAACCCACAGTATTACACGGTATTATTATTGTTATACACAGTATTTACCAACCAAAGTATACCAATCTAAGGGTAATTTATGTAAAGTTACAGATAAAGAAATTAAGCATATGGCTTTCTAAACCGCTTGGATACAGAGTTATTGAAATGAAATTAAGTCAGAATACAAAAATGTTGTCATTTCAATGTGTCTCTACATATATATACGCTATCAGGATGTGTCTGTGACTGAAAGCTGTTTAAAAATACAGCATTAGAAAGTGTCATACAATCATTAGCTAGGAAGGATACAGTAACAGGCAATGAAACTGCATCACATTATAACAAGATTAAAAAACAAACACTTTGGCTCCTATTTTGGATATTGTAGAATACTTTACAGGATCTGTGGATTTTACATCAAACCGTTTTCAAATCTAAGTGTACAGTTAGAGTATTAGGTGTCTTTTACTTGTCTCTAAGTACACAGTTTTACTACCTTAAGATAATGACATTGAAATATAGAAATAAAGGAGCAATCATTCGAGTGTTAATCTTCGTCAGATACCTTCGTTATTCTCTTTTTTATTAAAAGTTAATAGCTCATAATGATGCAATTTTACAGGGTGATTTTGAAAAAAAATGTAGGCATTACAGCGTGATTCTCTATAGTTTGGTGTGTAGGGGTTAGTTATGTTTTTACGAGTTGATCACGGATTGATATCAGTTAGAAAACCATTGAAAACCAGTACTGGAGTACTGGACAGCTGCTGTTTAATCTTAGTTTGGGAATCATCGGCAGTACGCATCCACTGAGGTCGCGCTGAATCACGAATTGGTAGAAGTTAGAATTCATGGACTAGCCATTGAAATGGGTCCCAGTGGCTGAATGGTATACGAGCTTGCCTTGTAACCGGAAGGTCCTGGGTTCGAACCCTGGCAGTGGGTGCGTACTTCCGATGATTCCCAAACTAGGATGAAACAGCAGCTGTCCAGTACTCCAGTACTGGTTTTCAATGGTTCTCTAACTGATATCAATCCGTGATCAACTCGTAAAAACATTACAGCGTGATAGCATACTCCTTGTCCATATTCGTTTCAAAGTATATCCATCAATCATTATGATAACCGTTAAAAGGAGATTTGAAATTTGTTGTATAGGCATAGGTTACCGTTAGTGTTGTAAAAGTCTAACTTAATGCTCATTTTTTTGTTGTTGTTGTGTAAGTCGTAGAGTTATATGTCGTTAATAGGTTCACAGTCAAAAGGTCTAGGATCAACTAGACATTTATTAAGTTATAGATAAGATTTTATTTTGATAAATCACACAGTGTTGTACAGTGATATTAACTGATGACGTTTCGAGCACAAACTATTGCTCGAAACGTCATCAGTTAATATTACCGTATAATACTGTGTGATTTATCAAAATAAAATCCTATCCATAATGGAGTTATACTCTACCACAGTGCCCAAGTTTTATACTTATTTGTTAAATTATCCTGAGTATCAATCAAGATTTAGCATATTATAACAAGTCGAAAGATAAAATACATTCTATATTATTGTATATTTATTAATATTAAATGTTCAATTTTGTCTACGTTTAAGACTTACCAATATTGCTTAACGACGTAGAGAAACACATTTCTGTTACCAATTGTAAATTCTGATTACATAATGCAAGAGGATCAGTTATCATGACACATTGGCATACAATAAGCAATGAAATAATATACATCTGGAATAGAGATTATACAAAAATAATGAGTTAACAATGCCAGAAATCAGCATAATTATCAAATAAAATCCTTGTTGCTTTTAAACTTACAATTATAAACTTCATTTTAACCACAGTGTCCATTTGTTCACGGTGCGTAATAATTATTTATTTCTTATTACTCAAAGTTAGATTTAAAAATACAGTTATAAATAAATAGTATGAAGCTTTATATATACTGGTGTTCTGTTCTGTTAATCTTCACATTATTATTATTATTATTGTCTTTGACCTAATCAGTTTATGTCTAACAAAAACATGCATAAACAAGTTATAATTTTGTATTGAAATATCTCTAATTTATTAAGCTTATTGCTCATATTTACTGTGCTATGTATGACTAAATCATTCTCATGGAATGCTGTTACATATATGCCGTTAACGCAAATAAACGTTGTTGTTTTTGTTGAAAAAACACTTTTTTGCTCAATCAGCTAATGTATGCATTCAAGCTTATTCCTTTATAAAATTTCTGCTAAGCTGGAGTGACTAATTTCAAGGTAGAATGAGTAATAAACAAACATTCTATCACGAGAAACATTTAACAACAAGAAGAAGTATTAAATTATAGTATTGAAAATACTAATTAAGATAATGACTGGTAATGTAACTCTCAATTAACTAACAGTCATCACACAATTGTAATATACACAGGTGACAGTTATGCTAAGAAATTGAAATTTAGTCAACTTTCCAAGATGTTATCTCAAAACTCTGCGTTCTCCTCTTTTCAAAATAATATCATTAGAAGGATAAATCTGATTTGGAAGGATGAAAAGAGAAAGTTCACAACTGTGATAAATTGTGCAATCTTACTGTATTGGGTGAGTGTATTATATATATTGGATGTAGGATTTCATCACGAGTTGATATCAGTTAGAGAACCACTGGAAATCCTGGGAGTGCTAGACAACCGTTTCGTCCTAGTTTTGGCTCTTCAACAGTGCGCACCCACCGCCAGGGTTCCAACCCAGGGGCTTCTTGTTACAAGGCAAGCGAGCTCGTAGACCACTGAGCCACTGGGACCCGATCCAATTGGCAGTCCATGAATTCCAACTTCTGCCAATTCACGACATAGCGTGACCATTTCGCAATGTCTTCTTCGATGAGTTACTGCCTCATCTTGAACCTGCTGAAAACTAATCTTATGCTCACTAGTGATTGGCCCTATTCAGGCAGCTACCTGGGGTTCTAGTGGGAAGCCGTAACCAGTAGGGTACAGTAGGTTGAAGATAAGGAAGTAACTCATCGAAAAAGACATGGCGAAATGGTCGTACTGTGTTAGAAGTTAGAATTCATGGACTGGCCATTGAATCGGGTCCCAGTGGCTCAGTGGTCTACGAGCTCGCTGGTCTTGTAACAAGAAGCCCCTGGGTTGGAACCCTGGCGGTGGGTGCGTACTGTGAAGAGTCCCGAACTAGGACGAAACAGCTGTCTAGCACTCCCAGGATTTCCAGTGGTTCTCTAACTGTTGTCAGCTCGTGATGAAATCCTACATCCAATATATATATATAATCATCAGAATATTTATGAAATAAAACTTTTATCTGAGTGGCTGATAATTTCACTTGTGTAAATATTATCTCGACAGTTCTCATTAAATGAAGTTAGAGAATAAATATTGTAGGCAAGTAACATCTTCCTTGTTAGAGATAAAATTTCACTGAGAAATGTTCTTTGAGCATTAATTTAATCAAAGTACCATTTAGTTTTGAAAGTTAGTGTGATGTGCATGTGTTAAGTTTTCTTCGCTGTCATATTTCTGCCAATTCGTTGAATTCACAGGGAAACGATAAAGAGTTGAAAATCACCTTTAAGAGATGCTAATATTGGTAGAGAAGTATCGACTACTTCAACTACTTCATTTCACATGGTCTTATAATCAAGTAGAGAATGTCAGCCTTATTTATAATCGGTGGATATCAAAAGAAGGAAAATGCAAGAGTAAAACTAAGCCTTTAAACTTTTTTGTTTCCTTAATGCGCAATTAATTTTCATTACACATTTGAGATTACAATTTGGTAAAGTTTCAGTTATTGCCAAGAAGAATATTTCTGAAAAGACAACAAAGTTATTTAACAACAGTGTAGGTTTGTTATCGAATACAAAAGTAAATTAACATTGTTCTTCAATTTTAGCAAACTTGCGCCATTCGTTATTCTAATAAACACTCCTGATGACAGTGGTGTTTATACCTAGTATATGACTGAATAACTCTGCTATTATGTGTGATTAAAAACCACCTTTCAAGTATACCGGATAATTAAGGTTAATTTTCTAAAGAACATATAGCAGTTATTGAAATAGTGACAATAAAGTAGTACTCTACAGCTGTTTCGTTACACACTAAGTTTTCAGTGTGAATATTAATCCCATAATCAGCTGGGTTGACTTTATTAAAGTATGGTGCTCGGCTTGGAAACACATTGAGATCAGTAAGTTCAAATTCTCGTTCACTCATACTCTGCTGGTTTCAGTTCTGCTTCTGCGCAGATTTACCGTTTACAGTCAATAATTAACTATTAAGTGCAACCTTCAGTTAGCAGTATTTTCCTCTCCTTCCCATACAGTATGATAAGAATTGACAGGAAACATTTATCTGGGCAAGTATTGCGGTTCTAAACAAACAGCCAAGAGACAAACATCTACTCAGTAGTTGGGATATTATTTATGATTTCACGTCTCTTCGTATAACTGGTAAAATAATCTGGAAGAAGCTAATTCGCAACAAGAATCAAGTTAGACTTCAAAAGCGTCAGTCATACGCTAATAGGAAAAAGATAGTAAATTAAACTCATAATCAAAATTTCATAAACAGAAACACTGAAATCATTCAAAATTTCAGCCTTCCTTAGTATGTGTGCATTCCCCTAGCCAGAAATCAAATGGATAATGTCCACATATGAAATTAATACCTATCAGTTCAAACGGTATGAATACCTAATTCTTTGCAGTTGGGATAACATTCACGTAGCATAAAGACTGACATAATAGTTGTCCTGAAGTAACGCTTTCAAAAAATATCTCCGATCTGTATCTCATCATTTCGAACTATAACTATGTGGAAAATGAAATACTGGAAACTTGAAATACTCTACAATAGGCTACAATGCATGAAGTAAATTGATGAGTGGTGACCAGCAGTAGAATCCAGAATGCTCATTTACTCTTATTTGGGGCTCGTCAACTAGATGTACCTACATTCCCCAGTCAGTGGTTGATAGTATTCCCACTGAGGCTTGAATCCAGAAATCATCGTTTCAAACGTCGAAGCGTTATCCACTGAACCACTTCGACCACCATCACTCACTGACGAATCCAGGCACGTCTATCCAAAGAGTCTTAAATAGGACGAAATGGACATCCCTGATTATACTGCTAGTCACCATCCACCAATTTACTTCAGGTTAAATAATCAGACATTGTCGAAGCATTTGCACAGGGAGCCAACATGTCAACCTGAGGCCAAGCACTTCTGCCTAACCAAACAACGGGAAAGCTCAACTTGAATAAAAAAGGCTACAATGCATTTTTTATCTCAGAGTGGTCTTCTGATTGTTTCCTGAAACGAAAGTTTGCCAGTTGTCTCCTTTATGATTCCAGACATTGACGAGAAAACCAACGAAAGCCAAGGAGTAGTGTAAAGGTGTCTCGTCCCATTTTGGTAGTTTTCTTCAGCACACACCCATGACTCCACCGTGGATCAGTCGCAGAGCCTTGAGTTTACCTGGCATCATCGTCGATTATTCGGATACAGAGAAGGATTCCAATGGCCAATTCATGGATTTAAACTTTTGCCATTTCGTATTATGTATGGCGTCACTGCCAGTCAATTTCGACCGCGCGTATCTGTCTCCACACTTGACGTGGTCGGCCACACTGGTCACAGCTTTTCATCTGAATTCGAAAACCTCCATGCAGCAATCAAACAGTAGTGAGTAGCAGATTAATTCTCAGATTTTGGTTTGTAAGGCTATGATTGATTTTAAGTTAGATCACAAATCGACATCAGTTGAACTCACTTCGTAACTTGAAGGTCCTATGTCTGATTTGCGGCTGTGTGTGTACTGTTCAGTTAGTAATCACTAGTTTCCAACGGTCTTCGAACTGATGTCATTTCATGACCAAACCTGGAATCAATGAAATCCCCACAGATCAATACTTGAAATTTTTCAGACCACTCTATTCTGCATAGTATTAACGCTTCATTGTTTCGTTGATACGAATACTGAAATTTAAATATTCAGATATTTTAACCTGTCACAACAACATTGTCATGGTATTTGGGAGGTTTAAATGGTTTTAATAAACGCGGAAAATATGGATTATATTACTATTATTTAAACGACAGAAACTCAGTGCACCTTCTTTATTACACTATCAACACCATTATCTATCTAATGTTGTATTATAAAACAAAAAGGGAATCAAAATGCACAAAGTTAAATGGATTATGAGGAACAGATTTCGTCCTCGTTTAGCCTAATGTGCAATACCTTTTAGTTCATGTATTTATGGAACAGTTAATTTTTCTCGTGAAAAGTATTTCAAATATCTGACATGGTATGAATGGCACCTACTAAGAATTCTCAAATAATATTATAGTGAATAGCAGTCAATCAAAATGTAATATTTTTCGTAAATAACAACTGACATGTATCGTTTTGTAAATCAAGTATACAATGGTTTATACAAATATACAAATTATTTCCAAATTTATTTGCATTTATTTGAAATCTGTTAGATGTCCTGAAAAGGGTTTACACTATCGAGTGAGGTGCAAAATGAAAAGTGTATAAAAACATTGGCTCATTACTGCACTGGAAACCATTTCCAATGAAATTGTGGAGATAATGTGGAGTCAAAGTTATAATAACCTCGCCTAGATTACTAGCTCGCTAGTTTTATAGCCGGTCCCAAGCCCGGATAAAGAGGGAGGGTTGGCGCGTGGTGCTAGCAACTCCACCCTCCAAAACTTAACCAAATTGCTACAGAAACTTCAAAGCAAAAATATATTAAAAATTCTAAAAATATAAACAATAACCTTATTTTTCGCTGGAATCGGGGAAGTGAAATGACACAGGCTGGTGAAAGCCTTCAGGAAGCCAGTCAGCGGTTGTGCCTTCTTTCGACGAAAGCAAAAATAAGGATAGGGACGGGGATCGTTCGTAAAATGTACGAAACTGCAAAGGCTGCCCAGGTAGCAGCAGAAATGAG